TTGTTTTTATTTTTATTTTTATTCTTATTTTAGTTATTATTTTTTAATTTTCTTAATAGAACTATTTTAAAAATATAAATTATATTTTAATAATTATTAAAATACAAAATTATTTTAAATAATATTTAAATTTTAAAATAAATTAAATTAAATTATTATTAAGGTAGTGAAGATTGTTTTTAATAAAAAAGAAAAGAAAATAAAAAATATTTATTAAAGTTAAAAATAAAGTTTTGAAAAAATTGGAGGTGCAGGATGATGATGAGATGTCAGAAGGATAAAAGTGGAATTTTTGGAGGTGCAGGATGAGATCTTGGAGGTGTAGGATGAAAAACTCAAATAATTTTCTATTTTATAAGTTGTTACATGTAAATTATTTTAAATAAAATTATTACATACAAAATGAATTTAAGTATATGTAATGTCATAATTTTTGGTTGTTAAATTAAATAGTGTACGTACAAAATTTATTTGAGCTTGTGATTACAAATATTCAAAGTTTTATGGAATTTAATTATGGTATAGAAATTAAATTTGTTCAATTATTTTTATTTATTTAACTTTTGTTATAGTTGTAATAGTTGTAGAAAATGAGGAATTAATTAATTTAAATTTATTTTTTATTTTAAGTATAAGTACATAAAATTAGGTGTTTATTTTTGTTTGAGCTTGTGAAATTGAGATGACATTGGACAAATTATTTTGGCGGTAATGATTTTGAGGAAGTTGTTTCAAGTGATGACTTTAATTTAATTCAGTATTTACAACAACAAATAAAAATTTTATATATAAAGAAGTTGGATCAATCATAATTTTTTTGTATTGTTTCTTCTGCTTTGAATGTTGTTTCTAATGGCTCCAAATGTTACGGAGTTTCTTTCTAGAAATGAATGTTGTAAACAAGAGCTACTATCGTACTTATTACATATTGAACAATTTGGAGACATTAAATTAGGTCTTCAAACTTTCATTACTTTATGTAACGATTAAGGAGAACTGACTTTGTTAAAGATAATTTTCGATTGACAAGGAATAAGTTGCTAAATTTCTTTACATTCTGTCTCTACACTTTCATAATGTGTTGAATGTTGTTTTGATATTGGAGGCAATATTCTTAACACAACTTTTAAGAATGACGTTCATCTTCATGTTCTAAACAACAGACGAATTTATCCTTACTTTGTAACATATTTCAAACTACATTGTCATCTTATAACTTTAATGTTTTATGTGTTATGAATGTTTTGTCTCTTACCTTATAGGATTGTTTAGGTGTAATAAATGGGATTCATGTGTTATGAAGAGTTATGGTTCCATTTTCTGATGCCCCTCCTTTTAGGCGAAGAAATGACTTTATTGTCAATCTAACGTGTGTTTTTTACATGAAAATGAGTTTTGAAGGTATGACTTCCTCTTCTTCGACTAAGACAAAGAAGTGGTAAGAAAATTAAAGGAAAAACACATGCAACTACTCAAAATGATGGGCTAAGTAATAAAATAATTTTCACGCTACATTAGATCTAACACGATGGTTCAATGCATTTGTAAAGATGAGAGAATACAATGTGCGCTTCCTAGGGAGGAAAATATTGTCACAAAAAATCATGATATTATTTTTCTTCCAAGATTCAAGGTTAGAATTCGTATAACTCCTATTGTTTCAAGGTCTGAAAAAATTGTGTAGTTCTATAGTCCAACTCACTATGATGAACTCGTTAGAGTTTTCTTCACAAACTTCAAAGTTAATGATCGAGTGTAGATGTCTAGTGAAGTCAAGACGACAAAGATTAGAGTCACTCTTATTGATTGGTTGACTCTTTAATTTAAGATATAAAGGTTGAAAGTTACCTGAAGACCTAGATTATGACAAGCAAACAGCTTTAAACTCCATGGTTAGACCATGTCTACAAAGCTGAATGGTTAGGAATGTAGGAAGTTTGAGCATCAATGACAAACTTGCATTATGTACTTGTTCATATATTGTCTTTTTAAGGTATTAACTTTGTAAAACTATAAAAATACATTTAATTGGAGCATGTGAAAAATATATGTGAATCCCAAGAAAGTTAACTGGGACACTCAAATCACAATATCATCAAGAAGATGTCAAAATTTTAGAAGACAAATTAGAGGAGGAACTACTTACAACATTATGTTTTACAAACTTTGACATTTTCTTGAGAATTTTGAAATTTATATATTTATTTTACATGTTTAAATTGATTGTCATGAAATTTGCGTATCTTTTCCACTATGTTCCAATTAGCCATATTTTGTGAGAAAGTTTCTTTCATTTTAGAGTTATAAAACTTAGGCTTTGATACAATTCTTAGGATTTGTATGATTTTTGAAAATACGCTAGAAAAAAAAAATATTATACAGAAAACTTTTTATTTTACTGTTAGAAAAAAAACTATAAAGTATTTCTTAAATTTAAATAATATCTAATTTGAAAATAGTTCTAAAACTAATTTGTTTTTTAAAAACTAATTTAAATAAAAAATATTAAATATATATTCTAAACCGTGTATAAAGAATTCAAAATATTTTGCCAACCATCCTAGATCTTCATAAACTTCAAGTTTGCGAGATTTTAACATTACTTTTATTTATCAATGTAAGTTTAAGTTTTTACATAATAATTAAAAAACTAAAGTTTTAATTTAACATCAGTTAGATATTTTTTGTTTTTTTGTTTTCGTTTTTAAAGCTTGTTATTAGGTTAACCTAGTATCACATTTTCATCCCATTCATGTGGTTTTTGCACTAAAGTAGGCAAATATGTCCTCTTTATTACCAAAATAGGCAAAAAGTGAAGTCGTGGGGGGCCAAAACGACTTCAAAGGAAGAAGTCGTGCCCCCTGCACGACTTCACACTATGCATAGCTACAGTGTTGAAGTCGTGCACCCCAAAAACAACTTTAGAGTATGGTAATCGATTACCACATGTGTAATCGATTACCATACCGATTTTAATAAAAAAATATAAAAAAATTGAAATCGTAGGGGGTTCACGACTTCAATAAGAGAAGTCGTGCACCCCCAACACAACTTTACTTTTTTTTTTAATTTTTAACTTTTATTAATTAAAATCATTTATAATTTCAAAAAATATTTTTAAATTTATTTAAAATAATTAAAATTATATCTAATTAATAATTAAAGTTTTTTTAATATTATTAAATAAATAAATTTTATACTTTTAATTATTTTTGTAATTAAATTAAATTTTTTATAAAAGAATTTCAATTAAATAATTTATAACTATAATTATTATAATTATCTAATTAAAAATTCAAAAAAAGTTATATTTCATTATAATTTATTTTTTTTAATTTTAATTATTATAGTATATTTTTTAAAAATTATAATTAATTAATAATAATTTTTTTCATTATAATTATTTAAATCATTATAATTAAAATAATTTTAAAAAATGTGATTAATTTTAAAATAATTAGTATAATGTGATTATAAAATGTGATTAATTTTAAAAAATAATTAGTATAATTTAATTTTAATTATTATAGTATAAATTATTTAATTAAAATAATTTTAAAAAATGTGATTAATTTAATAACAAAAATAAGTTTATTTATTTAATAATATTTAGAAACTTTAAATATTAATTATGTATAATTTTTAATATTTTAAATACATTTAAATACATAATTTAAAAATTATAAATCATTTTAAATAAAAAATAATAATAAAGTGAAAGTGTACGGGGGAGCACGACTTCAATACAAGAAGTCGTTAACTCCCTCCACAATTTTAGTTATTTAGTTTTTTTTTATTAATTTAATTAGTTTATATTTAATAATATTATTAATTTAAATAGTTTATAATGAAAAAAATTATTATTAATTAATTATAATTTGTAAAAAAGTATACTATAATAATAAAAATTAAAAAAAATAAATTATAATAAAATATAAATTTTTTTGAATTTTTAATTAGATAATTATAATAATTATAGTTATAAATTATTTAATTGAAATTCTTTTATAAAAAATTTAATTTAATTACAAAAATAATTAAAAGTATGAAATTTATTTATTTAATAATATTGAAAAACTTTAATTATTAATTAGATATAATTTTAATTATTTTAAATATATTTAAAAATATTTTTTAAAAATTATAAATGATTTTAATTAATAAAAGTTAAAAATTTAAAAAAAGTAAAGTTGTGTTGGAGGTGCACGACTTCTTTTATTGAAGTGGTGAATCCCCCTACTATTTCAATTTTTTTTATATTTTTTTATTAAAAATGTTATGGTAATCGATTACAATACGTGGTCGATTACTATACCCTAAAGTCGTTTTTGGAGTACACGACTTCAACCCTGGTCAAATGAACAGGGTGAAGTCGTGCAGGGAGACACGACTTCTTCGTTAGAAGTCGTGTGGGTCCCCACTACTTGCCTATTTTCGTATTTTAAAATTTTTTTGCCTATTTCCGTAGTATCTGAGGCAAATTTGCCTCGGTAACTTTGCCCATTCATGTTGACTTCTCCCGGCTTCGGTGGGTAATAATTAAAAGTTTTCTTTATCACTGCGTCCAATTTCAGCTCTTCAACATTTTGGCGAGGAATATAGGGACTGGTTCCGAAGTCTGCGTAGTTTGTGTGCAATGGTTACCCATTGGCTAATTATTTATATATTATTAGAGTTGTGTTGTGATTGGCTCCTCATGGCAGTTAACATGCAATTCTGGGTTTTCGAAAGACAATATATGAATTGTATATGTTGATGATATAGAATATACCTCATGACTTATGGACGTGATGAATATGTCAAGAATACCAAGTATCTGTCTACTCTCAGTCTTCAAGAGCTCCTTCTTGCTAATAATTTAAGCAAGAGCTCCTACAGCTCTCCCATGTCAGACTTGCTTTCCAAGCCTCCATCTTTAAGGTACCATTTTCATTCTCTTTATTTTTCTTCTAAGTTGTAACTTTTCCTGTCTCCAATTCTGTTTATTTGAGTTCGTGCTCATACATTTGAATGTTGCCGTTAGCAGCAATGGGGAGTTTTTTGTGTTGTGTGAAAGTTGAGCAATCTACAGTGGCTATGAAAGAAGGATTTGGACGATTTGAGAAGGTGCTTCAGCCAGGATGCCATTGGATGCCATGGTTCCTTGGGAAACAACTTGCTGGTCATCTCTCTCTTCGACTACAACAATTGGATCTTCGTTGTGAGACCAAGACAAAGGTTTGTTTTTGCCTAACACTTTAACTATAACCAAATATTGGTTTGGAATTTTTTTATTAAGTTTATTTGGTTGTCATTCTCTGCTAGAGGGAGGAGACCTCGAAAAACTATGGACAAACTAATGAAAAGGATTTCAAGATCAATGATTAGTCTAAGACATGAAAAGGCTTAATTTGTTGTTGTATGTTCGTTTGTCTTTCAGTCAAGTACTGGTTACTTTCAGTTCTCTATGTACGACATGTTATTCTGTGAATATTTTTAATATTTTCCAGTGAATTAAATGTTTGTCTGCTTACAGGATAATGTCTTTGTTAATGTTGTTGCCTCAATTCAATATCGTGCCCTGGCTGAGAAGGCCAATGATGCTTTTTACAGACTTAGCAATACAAAGACCCAAATTCAGGCTTATGTTTTTGATGGTATAAACCATAATACTCGGTAACAAAAGCCTGCAACAAGTGGTTTAAGCATATTTGATTAGCTAAGGTGAAATTTCTATTCTCATTGTAGTGATTAGGGCAAGTGTTCCAAAGCTGAACTTGGATGATGCTTTTGAGCAGAAAAATGAAATTGCCAGAGCTGTGGAAGAAGAGCTTGAGAAGGTTGTTTTTAAATGTAAAAATATTATTTACTTATAAGATGAACTGTGAATTTATGTTAATTTGAATATTATGCTTTATTGTCTTCGTAGGCTATGTCAGCTTATGGGTACGAAATTGTTCAAACACTGATTGTTGATATAGACCCAGATGATCGTGTGAAGCGAGCTATGAATGAAATCAATGCTGGTATGTTATATGATTCTTGTATGTTATACGAGCAATCTTTCCTTTGGTCATGGAATGACTTATATTTTTATGCTGCTTTTTGCCCTTTATCAGCTGCAAGATCGAGGGTGGCAGCTAATGACAGGGCAGAGGCGGAGAAGATCTTGCTAATTAAACGAGCAGAGGGTGAGGCTGAATCTAAATATCTCTCTGGGTTGGGTATTGCTCGCCAACGTCAAGCAATTGTGGATGGATTGAGAGACAGTGTGCTTGGATTCTCAGTCAATGTACCTGGGACGACTGCAAAAGATGTTATGGACATGGTCCTTGTCACTCAGTATTTTGATACTATGAAAGAAATTGGCGCTGCCTCCAAGTCTTCTGCTGTCTTTATTCCACATGGACCTGGTGCTGTTCGCGATGTTGCCACCCAAATTCGTGATGGCCTTCTTCAGACTTCTCATCAGTAGCTTCTACTCTACCAAGATCTTATATTTCGTATGCATGAGAGAATGGTGAAGCTATAGCGCCTGTGGTTATAAACTTGTGTTTCTATGCAGTTTTTTGTGATTTGGTTTTAGAATAAACTGCTAAATTGATCCTCCAAAAATGATTACATCAACTGATTTATCTTCTGAAGACTTTTGACATCAAATTAGTCCCACAAATATCGAAGACTTTACCACCTTTGTTCTAAAATTAGGCTTTGATTTGTATCTTTGAGGGATTGATTTGTTGGCCAAAATCTTTGGAGGACCAGTTTCAGGGCATTTTTTATTTATACTTTCGGAAAGTCAAGTAAATACTGTGTATTCTGTTGTCTTTATTTTGAATAATGCATAATAAAGCTATAAGTATCTGTATATAAAAGTTGTCTGGATTGTGGAAGTTGCACATAAATTTCTTATATACCGTTAGAGAATGATTAGTTCTAATCCGTGAACTAAACTCTACGCTTCCTAGCCTTACGAAAAGGAAAATTCTTCCAGTCATCGTTATCCCCATTAAATTAATTAGCTATCGATGATGTTATGCTATAAATGTTTCCATCGGAATATGAAGGTTTGATTGTATTGCAGTGCTAACTTTTTTCTCTGAAAAAAATATGAAACTACTTCCAGTTTACAAATAATAAAGCCATTCATAACTAAATAAAGAACATAATAACACGAAAGCTACCATCTCATCCAAGAAAAGAAGTAATTCTGGAGCTATTTGTTTCACAGACTCAACTGCAAGAATAAGCACGAATTAAGTTAAACTCGAACAGGTAAGGAAGATAAAAAATATCTATCACTAGTACTATAATAATTTTATTTATAAAAATTGTGTATGAGTAGTAGAACTAGACATGCACATTGGTACTCATACTGTTGTTGAATATTGAAGAAAATGGATGGCGAAAATCGATGAGTTTCATCCGTTTTGTGCCATCGTTTAGAAGTCTCCTTACAACCAACAACCTCTGAATTGCATATGAAAGTTTATCTCAGTGGCACTGACTAGGGTTTTAAAGCCACAGATACTCCAACCTTGGGATGTAAATTATTATCTGTGGTCTTAAAATCCACTTCTCCAGCCATAGACACATAAAACCTCTCCCAGAACCCTTGTTGAATAACAGCACCTGCCTTGCCAAAGGTGTCAAATCGAGCCTTTACTAATGTTTCCGGAAGAACTGCATGCTGAGCACCAATGGTGGCACTAGTCTCCCCCATTGACAAGCTATGCTTCAGCTCTGCTGCAATGGCGGTTTTGCTTAGGGGGTTCACTTCATGATAACAGGAGGCTTTCAGAATGTCGAAACTGTCATGCCTGCAAAATAGAAAGTAACAAGAGTATAAAACTAAGCTGTAATGATTAAATTTTCTAATTAGTTTATACGGACAAATTAATGTCCCTAAATGTTTTCTGATAAATTTGGCTTCTATGCTTCTTTTAGAACATATCTCACGTGGTCAAGGAAGCAACAAGGAAGGGAGTGTTGAGGCTTAATCCAGCATTCAGATTACTGAATGTTCTTGTTGGTATGTCTAAAGCAACATTGGCTCCAAGTGACAAGATGTTTGTTCCCACAAGACCCGATAAGTTCAGAACAGGATCATATCCTCTTTCTAAGTTTCCTTCGAGTCCAATGCATCCAGTAATTCCAGTGTAGTTAGTCAAGTGTTGTAGTTCTACCTACGATTATTTCAGAAAATAGTCAGATGTAGCAAAAAAGTAAAATTTTTAAGGCCATGTTAAAATAAGCTGCTTAATAAGGATATATATAAAAGAACAAAAAAAAAATCATCTTATGCACCTAACTTCTTTAAAACTAAATGGCATAAGTTTATTTTAACTTGCTGAAAAAACTCAACATTTTAGTTTCATATCTTCTTTACAAGTTTATCAAACAATGTGTGTTGATACTGATAGTATGTAGGAAAGAAAATTAATTTTACCTTCCCTGAATCAGGTATGGTGCATTTGAAAAGGCTCCTGAATCCAGGTAGAATTTCATTTACTGTAATGAATGAGACACCAAAAACACTATAGTCAGACATGTTGCATGCAATTCCGTGGCTTTTTAAGAAATTCACATGTGGCTCTCGTAGTGATTATGGAAAAGTTTCAGACTAATTGATGTTTTAAATGATTATATGACTTGTGAGGTACTAACTGGTTACCTCAGTGCAAGCTAGATGCTAAAAACAGATGAAATGAAGACCGAAAATTCACTACAAAAAACAAAAATGAAGGTTGCAGAAAAACGGTCTTGATTTTCAATCTGTAATTGTATTTGTTGGGAGTAAAATGATCATTGAAATGTAAATTGGAATTTCAACCTTGAACTAAATTATGTACATGATTAGTGATTGCATTACTCAAAATTATTCCACATTGATCACTACAGAGAGAGAGGAATTCAGTGAAACAAGTCTGAAAGTTAGATGAGTGAATCATGATATAATTTAAACTAACCCCTTCTTTCAACTGAATAGCATTAAGAAGTAAAAAGCATGAAACTTTCAACGAGAAGCAGAATTGAAAAGAAGAGAAAGATTGAGTTGATTGATATTCACATTACATTGACAAGAGAGGTCGACGTTGTAGTCCATAAACTGGTAATGAAAGTGAATTGGTGATAGATTTGAATAGTCCTTGTGCAGAACATCTGATACAAAAAGTAAGTAAAATCTGTGTAAAAATATCACTCAAATTATAATTCATTATGCTGAAAGATTAAAATGAAAATAACAAGGAGTTGAAGAAACCTTTAGCCTTCTTGCCAAGATCAAAATATATCCCTGGACTGGTGCTCATTTCGCTTAAACGAAAGGTCAGAAATAAAAATATGTTTATCTTTCACCTTTGCATGATTTGTTGGGATGATAATTTATTGGGAGGGAAAGAAGGGCAAAGGAAGTTTCCTCTTGTACAATATGACTCACTTTTTTGGTATCCATACAAAATGACTCAATTGAAACCTGCATATGTAACGAAACTTCCATGAACCAATATAGCACAATTTATTTCGTACTCAGAAAAAGACATCCAAAGATTATGACAAATTGACAAGAAGTAAAACTCAAGCTAGCATTCACAACCACTGTCACTGTTTCCGGAAACTGCCCAAGATGCTGGTCAACAAGGCAACTGGAGCAAAATCTAACCGTTACCGTTTTGTAGTAAAGTCATTGTTGCTTTGAGCTTAAGCTTTTTTGGAAGCATTTTATCCTGTCACTGTTTAACAACTGTACTGTAATCAAACTCAATTGCATTTTAATCTTCCAAATTTCTTAACCCAAGTCTTCAATTCGAGTCTTGTGTGTAGTTTCATACCAATGTTATGGTTAAATGAACAAAACTAAAGGACATTAATATTTATGTTACTTTTTTTAGCTGTAGCATAAATTAATTTCATATATTTTGTACGACAACTATTAGACAACTATTAGAAAACAGACTTTAATTATGACTATGACACTGTATTAGAAAATGAGTTTAAGTTTAATTTAAGATTTGTACCTCGCTTATATATTATAAATTAATCTTATTTCTAGTAGTTGAAGTTGACGTGAGACTTCTAACAACAATTAAGATTAGCATCTCGCTACAGTTTAGAACTGACTATTGGAAAAAGACTTTATAACTAAAATGAAATTGATATATAATCGTGCACACAGGGAAGTGCAAAGCTATGGCCTGTTTTTCATTTTTTTTAAATTTCTTTTTGTTTGGTTTTCTTTGTCTTCTTGTCGTGGCACCTCAGTTACACCAAAGGAGCAGCTTGCAGTGGGCTTCTCAATAACAACTTACATAATAACATATTCAAATTACACCTTTTTTTTTTTTCTCTCTAAGCTTGAAAACTTGCAAGAAATTGAATGGGGTGAAATTATTATATGTTGTATCTCTAAGTCTAATTATTTATTATCATATTAGTCATAAATTTAATCACGTTAAACATTTCACAGTAAGTTCTCAAGTTTCACTATTTATCATAATTGTTTTAGTGAGACTTAAATCGTTTACTGTATCAGACTTAATTTTAAATTTGCAATTATTTTTAAATGACTAAAATAATGAAAAATGTTAATTTAATTTACGATTATTGTAATGCCTACATAGATAGTACATACAAAGTCATATTTAAATTTGAAACCTCGTCTTTTTCTCTTCTTTACCATATATTCATTGTCTTCCACATCCAAACTAAGATTGCGATAGATTAATTACAGAGCGGCTCATATAAAGTAAAAGATAAGGATTTATTTAAATTCTTTTTTTTATAAAAATACAAAAAAAGAGTGAAACTAAAGTTAACTTATGTATTACATAAATTTTGTTAGTTATTTTGATTATTTTTAATTTATTCATAAATTGATTTTAACTCATTTGATGAATCTTTTCCTAAAAATTCTTGAAAGGAAATTTATTCAAACAAATTCATAATATCAGCGAGGTTATGCAATTCATGCTAAGAATATCTTAATTTCTAAAAATTACCTAATTATTGTGATTAACTTGCCTATGGGCACGTATTAGTTGTTAACATAAAAAAAATTATACTTTGTCAAATACTAAATTTTTATATTTATTTGATATTCTCTTTCTTTATTTTTTACTTTTTGTTTTTAAGTACAAAAGTTATCTTTTTACTATCGTTTTATTCTTGTGTGTCAAATGAATGCATGTAATCCTACCATTAGTCTAACTTAAACACTATATATGACACAACAGAAGAAGTATAGATTTAATTAGAAAAAAATTAGATTTAATTAGAAATTTGATTCTTATATTTAAATTTATGATTTATCATGTTTAACAACTAGTAGATGGTTTTTTTCTTCTATTAAATTATCTAATTGGATGAATTAGTAAATGATCTTTTACGCTTCACAAAATTATCATTATTTTATAATCAATCATCACAACCTTTACATTGAAATAAAAATTAGGCAGTCCAGATAAAGTAAAATAAAATTTCATAAAATGATATTTATAAAGAA